AATCCCACGAATAAAACGAATAAAATTGACATTGCCTGAGCTCTGGTAAGGGTGTCATCTGGCCGCTTCAGAGGTCTGCTGATTTCCCAGTCATCTGTCTCATGGTGAGACAGCTACGCTCTCACATCTTTCCAACTGTGGCCAGAAAGGCCTTCAGAGGCAGCCTCTGGTAACACGCTCTCTGTATTTAGAGAGTGCTGCAGACGACCTGCAAGTTTCTTCAGAATTGCGAATGTCGGGAAGACCCATCCACGTGCTGGATCTGTGCAGGTGGAAGTCAGTGCCTCTCCTGTGCAGAGATTTTAGAGGGGTCTAAAGAGACCTTGCGCAGGAAGAACTCGGCATAAAGACAACCTGATGTTAGCGCTGGGACCGCCTGACACGCTTCTGGCTGAAGCGACGCTACCGGAGGCCGAAGAGCCAGGCGAGCAGGTTGTGATGTGCGCAAACAACAGACCTATCAGACTAGGCTAAGGCTCCTCTGAGGCACCTGACCTCAGTGGGAGCCCCTGAGGAACCCCAGTGCTGCTGGATAACGAAGGCTGGCGGGCCTTTTGCAGGTACGTCCCCAACTGCGGGAACGGTGAGGGGCGCCAGCGGAGCGGGCCGGCACAGCTAGAGCTGAGCCTGATGGAGGCGGGGTGGACAAGAGAGACCTCATCATATACACCAAGCCAAACAGCTCTGTCTGGTGGAGCTCTCCCTGCTATCGCTGAGCGCGTCGTTCGGTTGATGCCAGCATCGCGAGTTACTCGAGGTACTCGGATGGGGAACGCAGAAGCGCCCGGGCTAGGGGCTCAGCGCGCTGTCAGCACAGCCCTGCAACGCCAGGGGAAAGGCCAGCAGGCGCGACCCTCTCCACGGAGCGGGCTCGTCTACCTAACGAGGAATCCAGCCTCAAAGCAGAGCTGCGCTTGGAGGGGACTAAAGACGTGCCCCTGCCCAAGAAGGATTTGTGCACAGGCAAACACTTAAAAGAAAAAACAAACTAACAAAAACCACCGCAACCCTTTGTACCATGCTTTGGCAAGATCTGCCTCCTTTCTACGCCTCTGCAAGGTTTTTCCCAAGCCCTTCTGAAGCGGTAAAAACAATGGCCCTTTTCGCTAAAGGAAACGGGTTTAAGGGAAGCTGTTACAAGAGACATTGGGAAATGGGACTAAGGGGAAATAGCGTTGCCTCAGGAGAAACAGAAGGAAACAAGCTCTGCCTGGATGCCACAGTAAGAGGACAGAAAAGCCTGCTCAAAGGAAAGGAAATAATTAAAATAAAATATAATGGAAAAAACCTCAAGCACGTGCGTGGCTCAGTCTCGGAACTCCATCCTCCCTTCTTAGGAAAGCAAATGGTACAAACGTGACAGACGGAAAACCCACTAAGACAACGTAGCCCTTCTATCTAATCCAAGAGGCCTTTGAACCAATACATAACCCTAGGCCAGACGACAGCGTACCGTCCCATGGAAACACAGGAAGGCAGGGAAGAGCTGTGAGGGCATAAAATAGGCTCTCCTCAGAAAACAGATCCTGGGGGAAACAAGAGAACAAATAACAGGGCATTTCCCTTGATCCTCACTGAAGCAAAAGTCCCTTAAGAACCGGGAAGTGTAATTCCACGTAGGAAGCAGAACCCCCCTCTCCCCGCGGCGCGCACACCCCCATGACACAAAGCAGCCAGTATCTACCATTGCCATTTTTCAGAACAGAAATCACAGCGGTCCAACTGCTGGAAGCACCTGCAGGGCAAAAGCTGCTGCCAGGGCCAGAGCCAGCTGTCCCGCGGCTGGGGCTGGAGAACGGAGGCACGCAGTCTCGTACCACCAGGTGTTTCATGCCCTGAACTTCACCAGGAGGCAGTTACGAGAAGGCTACAGCTCCATAAGCCCCCTGGCAGATCTGGAACCGAGTCTCCACGTTCCGGTTTCCTCACAAGAGGAGACAAAAGTAAATAGCACACGTTTTGAAACGCCAATCTTCTCTGTGCTTCCGGTTTCGCATTTTGTCAATTTTAAAATATTTGAAATCTAATATATTTCAACATAGACTGCAAAGTTACTATTTCTCATTATTTTCTAGCACATGCTATTAAATTTTGTTGTTACCTCATAATCTTGGCTGCTTTTCTAAAAAGAAGTAAAAATGCGTTTCTTAATGTTTTGGTTAAAAGATTCAAAATATGCTTGACAATGCTTGAGAGATTCCCAAAATACAAAAAGTTGTTTTTGAGGGTCAGTAACAGGCTCAGAGGGTTTGATAGTTAAGTCTGAGGATGACTACATGCGGCTGTTTGTTTACTCGGTAAGATTCACCTTACTGAAAGAGCCACGTTGGTTTCGTCTCTGACTCTCTTTTGCAGGTATCACTCTTCTTGAGATATCTGAGTTGCAAACATGCTAAGGATATGCTTAAAAAGACATAAAATGGGATGCAGTTTTTTATTTGGAAGTTTTATTTCATTTGGAATATTTCAGATATTTAAGTATTAGGACGTTCCTGAAACAGAGAAAATTGTGGACATGAAGATTTCTTGAGCAGCGTTAACGTAATTTAAGCTTCAATTACAAGAAATGCAGTATAAATTAAATGTCAGGCTCCACACTATAGAATCATAAGAATTAAATGTTTTTTCTAAAAGAAAATGCTTGTAACGGTTTGTTAAAATTGCACAGCTCTGTTGTCGGACTGCCCAGGGATCACTTTAAATAAACTGGTTTATTAACATTCCTAGGGCAAAACTTAGTAATAGAGAATGCTTTCGGAATCCAGTAGCTTATTTTATACCTGAAATCTAGCTCTTCTATGAAATCTAGCTATTCTACAGCATGACATGCTATACCACTTAGCTATTATTAAGAAATCTATGAATTTAAATTTTAAGGAAGGCATATGCTGTTTGCCAATTCAGAGATTAATTTAATCTTGTTAAAAAAGCAATGAAGTAAAAAGATTAAAATTTAGGGAAAAACTGACATAATTGGAAAAACAGAAGGAAAACGTTACTCTGTAAACGTTTCAGCTCCAGCCTGAACTACTCATTTATCCCATGATAAAATGACCTCAGTGCACTAAGATTTCCTGCTAGAGAAGTAAAACATTCACTGGTACTTGAAGGGGCACATTTATATACCAAGTTTGTTCAGATTTTAAACACAGTAATTCTGATGCAAGCAGCTACAAAGTAGCTATTTCTTGTTTACAGACTTCCAGTATAGCAACGCTTAAGTCAAGGGTTTCCCAGTACAACAAAGGAAAAGAACGACCACAAAACGCACTTTCCCTTATGTTTCCGCAACTCAAATAATGTAAACGTCACCCATCTGTTGAGTACCTCAGGATCAGGCAAAAGAATTTAAACAGCATAATGTTTCCTATTTTTAACTTAAAGCGCTTCTCAAAGATTTATCAGCTCCTCAGACTGACCGTTTTTGCAAAATTGTGGTGTGTATAGCAACCTCTCTTGGCAGAGTCCAGTCTTAACTCTCCCTATGTTTTGGATCATGCAGTTATGCCGCTTTTTAAGAGATGCTTATAATTAGAAATAACATGCCTTACAGCTCCCAAGAAAAGAGTGTTTATAGTGGAGTCCATGCCCTTATTATACATAATACTAAAAAAGTGGGGAAACATCTGGAAAAGGATGAGGCTACTTGATAATGACTGACACAAAACCATATGGTTTTATATACTTACAGCACTGATACCAAAACAACGTTCCAAAACATACTTTCAGAAATATATTAGGAAAAAATCGTGCAGACAACACAGCCAGGCACGAAAGCAGGGGTCAGCAGCTTTCTTTGAAAGCTAAAAGCTGAAGATGCTTGGTACATAAAGGGGAAACTGAAGGAAAAATTAAATGAGGAACTGGCAGAACTTTTAAGAGGGTAAATATGGAAGAGAAGATTGAGACACCGGCAAGGAAGACTGCACAGAGCCCTGAAGAGAAAAAACAAGGAGCTCAAACTTTGTAAAAGAGGAAATGAGAAATTATACACAGTGTACAAACACTAGCAGGGAACTGAGATTGCAGTAGAGATAGGACATACAGCAGAATTTTAATCGTGCACGTCAAATGGCCAGGCATGGAAGAAGTAACCATCAGGCGAGTCAGCGAGAAGGAAGCTAGGCTGGAGATGAGCAAATGCATAGAGCAAGAACAAAAAAACGGAGACTACATTTCAAGAACGCTAAGCACAGGAAAATACAGATAACGGTAACAGTCTGGACAAGGGGAGAAAAGGAGAGAGAAAGATCAAATACTACTTTTAAGAGATTTAGAGACTAATGGAACTATTTATACAGCTAGAGAAAGGGAAGAGAAGAAGGATCATTGCTTTATAACATTATAATGTCACGAATGACACAATTTGTGAAGCTATTAATCTGGTGCTGGACATGAGTGAAAGCGTCCATGGTTTTCATAGCTTCTTAAAAGACTATCACAGAAGAAGAATCTTGATCAGAGAGAGGTTGAACTGCCACTGAAAAACAGGAATAATAAAAGGGAAAAACCATCATGGGATGTGGAAAGACTTTGGTGAAGAAAAGCCCACCATCCTCCTCTGGTCACAGCAGCCAAGCTATTTACCGTAGCACGTACACAGGTGCTACTGTGACCTTGACTCTGGGCAGGATGTGGTGATTAACAGTTGCTTAATCCTCAAAGTACCTTTACACAAACACTATTATGGGAGATTTACTCAAAAGGAACAAGGAGCTGTTGAGGTCCAACAGCTGCAGGTATTATTTTAAGTTCTGTATTTTGGTCATGCACGTTTCCATGTAGCAACAACTAACATTTATTCACCTGCTAACCTCCAGATTACTGGAGTATTACTCCACAGTATTACTGGTGCAGCTTGAACTTTTATTCTAGTATAAAGATGAAAATAAACATTTTGGAGGTCAAAATAAAGTGTTTTCTTTTCCACAGGGAAACAGATGCCGGATTTAAATCAATACATTTAAGACTTACTGAAGACTTATAAAGAAATACTTACAGCATAACCAATCACATCCACTAGGGAACCAGTCATTTCTTAGAACAAAATACTTTTACTAATAGGCTTTATCAAGCTTGTGCTTTTGCTCTCAAGTAAGTATGGCTTCACTTAAAAGCTATCCAGCTGAGAAAAAAAATTAAGAAAAGTTGCAAATCTGTCAAGAAAAGAAACTTGAGTTCAACTGCAAAAACCCACCACAAACTTGACTTGATTTTTCGCAAGTGAAACCTTTTACTGACCTTTTTCCATTAATTTTGAAGCCTATTTTGTTTCTGTATGTAACCATCAGGTGCAGTATTTATGTGCTTATACTGATACCATCAACACATTACTCACCTCTGGTGTCTGGATAGCTGAATTCCACATTACAGGTCTCTGAAGAAAAACAACTTGCTTTGTGGCCAGATTTCCTTCACTGCAATTTAAAGAATATTTTTGAATATCTGAAAAGCAGTAGCATTCACTGTAACACGTTTATACCTTTCACAGTCAAGAGTAAATTGTGTGTCCATAAGTAGACATACACTGTATGTCAGACGAGTACAGATTACCACCAGCACTGTCTATTTCCGCAGTACTGCAGCTAAGGTTAACTAACCCTTTTCACCCTAGGCTTTTCTTACAGTAACTTTTAACAGTGCCAATTTTAACAAGACTTGGGTTTAACATTTACTTTGCAAGATTCGACACTTTTAATGCTAGGGCTCTCTCAGAGAAAGTTTTGGACCCGTGTGACCAAAGTCATTACAAAGATCTCGTTTTATTTCCACAAAAGGACCGGCCATGCCCCTGAGCCAGGCTGCAAGAGAGAAGCTGGACTTCCCGTGCAATTCCTCTGCTCTGCTGGTGGCAATCCCTGTGGCACAGGAGCTGACGATACGGGGATACCTGTACTTTTAACACTCCCACTGTGGACTCAGACAAGGCTAAAACCACCTGCCCTGAAGAAACGGCCAGGCGAAGGGAGCACATTAAAGAGCCACAGCAGTTTGGAAAGAGACAGAAGTCCTGTTAGCTGGAGGGTCCCTAAACCACTGAGCCGCGCTCCCAGGCCCCGGAGCTGACCACAGCGTCCTACCTGGCGGCTGCCCAGCTAACAGCTCTGTGATCCAGTGTCATGTATCACCCAGCTCACCACCTCCGCAGGCTAAGCTGTGGAGAAGAGACCAGGGGTCTGATAATCTCCGTTCCTCACAGGAGGAAAAAGGAACGGAAGGTATTGACACCAACAGGCAGCTGAATTCAGGTTTTTTCCTAACTTTTGCGTTCCTGACTAGGCAGCCTCAAGATTCTCTTAACACAAATTTTTGCACTCCATCATAGCCACTGTCTAAAAATAAAGAAAACGGTCTAGTACAGAAACCAATCATTTACTGGTACGTTCATTCCTAAATAGCTCTATAATCACTTTGAAGAAAGCAGAAGCGAAGAGCTAGATGAAGGTGTTGCACATGAAAACAGGTACACAACAAGAATTTTTACGACTGCGATTGGAGCTAATTAACATGACCGCTCTTGAAACTTTAAGCTCCTACTTTTAGTCCAAGTTCACACTTTTACAAAGTCTGAAATTAAACCTCAAGGAGTCTTTCCTTCATCTAATCCTCCCTGACAAACAGAGAGCAACATATAACTAGCTATTGGTACCACACAACAAGTAGACCCAATCTCAACAGACCCGCAGCTTCAAATATCTCAACTCTTTGTGACATGCAACTTGGGAAACAACATTCTTCACTGCTAACTAAAACGTGTTTTCTGGTTGTAACAAGACAGCTAACTGAGACAATGTCATACGCTTGCTGAATCACCCCCTGTGAATACAAGGCCTCAGCTCAGTTTTTATAAGCTCCACATCCACAATGAGATATATGACACTGACTGCTTTATACATGGGAAGTACACGCATAGTTAAGGACAAAAGAAAAGAAGAAAGAAAAAGACAAATAAAGGAGAAGAAAAATGAGGAACTTCAGTTTTCAGTCCTGGAACTTTCAGCAATATTGATGCTACTGTGGTAGAAATGACGTTAAGAAACAACATTTACTTTGTTCAAAAGGAAATACTCCTCTAAAACATAAATGTGAAAAGGTGGAAAAGTTCCTCAAAAACAAACAAAGTGTTACTGCTATGATGTCTCAAAAGCGTTACACTCTTGTACTGCTGGTGGTGGATCCACCTGAAGATTTTATGTCTCCATTATCATCAACTTTCCATCAGGAATAGAGGTCAGCACACTGACCGCATACGTACTACAAAGCAAGACCGTGCCATTTAAATGAGCGCAGGAATG